TATATAAAAGAAAGTCGTTTTAGTTACACTATTTATAATTCAAGAACGGCTGAACCGCTTTGTCTGAAAATTGTTTGGGAGGTAGCTAAGAACCAGGAGAGGGACATAGGATACTTTTTATCCCGTTCCCGTGGAAAAAAAATGCAACTGACATGGAATGACAAAACGCAACTAATAGCAAAACGAAAAATTTATCAGTCAAAACAGCCGTTCATTTGTTAAAAATGGCATAACAAAACGCAACTGACAGCTACACGTAATGTTGTCTATGGTTAAGTATGGTGTTTTATTTATGGTCAGATTTACCTGAAACTTGGCTTTAATGCTTTTCCATATAAAATTAGTGACAAAAATACCTATTGAAAAGAGGTTGCAACGTTTCCATGGGATATATTTTATTTGTACTCGGGTTTACTCGAAGGTTGCTCATTGTTGAAATTAAGCAAATACGTGTTTTGGCAATTATTAAAAATTAACCGTTAAGGATGAAATGTTGTTGCTACATTTCTATTTGAAATCTAAGATGGCGACATTACATAAAATTGAAACGTTGTAAGGGTGAATTGGGAGTTACAAGATTTTATGGAGAAACAATATTAATTTCTGCTACCGAAGCCGCGGGGAAAAGCTAGTTATCTATAATTATTATGCAAAAATGGTTTTTGTATTTATTTTTTTGTCTAGTGTGTAAATCGCAGATAACGTTAATTTATCAGTTATTAGATATTCCTTTAAGCTTGCCTAATTGATTAGCAATTACTTTAATACGTTAAAAGTAAATAATAAACCGCTTAATTTTAATAAATATTCCTTTAGCAGTAGATATTTCCAAAAAAAAGAGTATTTTGATGGATTTAATTACTATTTGTCTTTAGACTCTTAGACGTTCTTTTTTCCTTTTTCCTAACAGAGAATATTTAAATTAGTGAATTAATTTTTAGGGTTCCGTACGTCCAAATGAAAAATGGAACCCTTACAGGATCAGTCGTGTGTCTGTCTGTCCATCTATCACAATCAATCTGTTCCAAATCTACTTGACCAATTAAGTTGAAATTTAGTACACGTATGAATTTCTGTAACCCAAACACGGACGCATAAAGTAAATAAATTAAATTTGAACATGGGGGTCATTTTTGGGGAGTCAATAGGTAATTAAAAAAAAAAAGCATTGCAAACTGTACCGAGTGAAATATCAAAGAAACCACTTGTTGTAAGGGTCCCAAATGTATTTTTTATAATTTTAAATTAAATAGTGTTAAAGTTATTTAAGAAATTAGATGAAAATTAACTATTCCCGCCCCCCTTATCTCCGAAACTACTGAATATAACATTTTAAAAAAATACAGAAAATAGTTCTTTCCTTATGTACAAATTTACATTTCGAATTTGAATGTATTGGAGAACATGTTTTTTTTTAACTACAATGTTAAGTTGGTTCTAGAGTTAGGGTTCTGTACGTCCGAATGAAAATCAGAACCCTTACAGGATCATTCGTGTTTCCGTCTGTTCGTTTTTTTGTAAATAGGTTGAGTATTTTAGAAGTAACTTCTTTCAAATCAATCATCCTTATCAAAAAAAAGTTACGTACTTATAACAACTGAAAATTTTTTATACAAAATGAGTAGAAAGTTCTAAAAATTATGGGTAAACCCAAAAGCGTCATCCCAACTTTTTGAAAGTCCGACAGCAACCGTCAAGTATGACGAAGTAGAGTTTCAGAGAAATTTGTTTATAAAAATAAACTGTTTGATGATTCAAACCGTTAATCGTTAACACTACAAAGAATTATGGTATCTACGACAATCGGCCAAGGACTGCAACATATCATTATATCATCATAGGTGTATACAAACTAATTGTAAGTAATGGAATTATAAGAGATTTTTCGAAAGCGAATTTAAATAATATTAAAACTTTGAGGCAAGTCATAAATGNAAAATTAACCTTTCCCCCCTTATCTTCGAAACTGCTGAACGTAAAATTTTGAAAAAATACAGAAAATAACTTACAGATTACAATAAAATTTTGTAGTTTGAATATATGGGATATCATGGTTTTCCTTCAACTACAATATTAAATTGGTTCTCGGGTAGGGTTCCGTACGTCCGGATAAAAAACGGAACCCTTATAGGATCTCGTGTGTGTCCGCTTTTTTTTTACTTAACTTTACCCACTACAATAACTTCAAATTAATGAGAAAAAAAAAACCTTACAAAAATTCAAAATGTTTCATAAGTAACGGCAAGGATCTTAAATGAAGAATCTTAAATAAAAAATCTTTGGACTACAGGAATCTTTAATTCCTTTCAAAGATTGAGTGTAAAATTTTGAACATCTACTTCAAATGGTAAACGTTAACTAATTCTCAGTTCAATACAAGCGTTTGGTAGCAACTGCATCATTAATCTAAAGTTCTGTGTTAAGAAATTGTCACAACAAAAAATTTGTCGAACAGAAGACTGAAAATTACTTCCTTCCTTACTGATCAATAATTCCGTACTTATCCTCGTTTCTTCTACCATTTGTAATCAGTGACGACCAACATTCTAAGGTATGAATCATTAAAATTTCACTTCGGTCACTATAATTATTGAAATGGAACCGAAACATCAGGAAGTAAGTAAAACGAACGTAGAAATAAATAACATTGATAAAATTAGTTTACGATTAAAATAATTTATTTATGTAAAACAGTTTCAAGCATCATGACCCTTTTAGACGCGCCCTCTTTACTACTTCTTCGCACGGTAAATAAATAATTACCTGTGCACCTTTACTTTTTTTATATATATCCTTGTAGATATATTACGATATGAATGTTTTAAGTCTTCTTAGTACACACAAACAATCCTCACAGAATTAAAGTTAAGTTAGCGACAATCGACCTGATTGTATTTTAATAGCGTTGTGCCACTATAATACACCCTGCCTAATGCCTTTTTAACAAGTGATTTACAGATACTTCAGTGAGTACAACTCAGTAACTGTTTTGTAAACTCACAAAGTTAATTTAAGGTGCACATTATCAATAGCAATACTGTACATGCCTGCAAAAAAATACAGAGAAAATTCTTATAAAGAAAGATTATAATTAATGAATTAATCGCTAGACAAAAATTTTCAGTCTCTCTCCAGTCTCTCAGAGTCTTTCAGCGTCTCTGAGAGCGTCTCTCACAGTCTCTCAATGATTGCCTAGGTGTTCTTATGGATCTCTCACAGTCTCTGTATGAGAGACTCGAATGATAAAATTGTTAATTCAGAGATTCGAGTCTCTCACAGAGAGACTGAATGAATAAAACTGAAAAATTGAGACTCGAGTCTCTCGTACAAAGACTGGGATCTCTGAAATATGTTAAACTATGACAGTCTCTCGACAGTCTCTCTCAGCGACACCAGAGAGACTCGATGAGAGACGGAGATTCTAGTCTCACATTCAGAGACTCTGAGAGACTGAACATTTTTATTTCGAGTAATTTATGGTCTTTTTTGGTTTATTATGACTGTGTGGAATAAAAAGAAAACAAAATTTGGAAACGTAAAACCATATATTATTTATTATCGTAAAATAATTATTTATCAGAATAATTATCTTACAATATATCTCATCTATTAACAATACTGTAATATAAAAAGAATGACATCATCTGCAAAGGACGTCAACAATTTTATTGTCTTGAAAAGTAAAAAAAGAAAAAATTTCCACACGGATTTTTCTGTGGCAAGCAAAGACAAATAATTCTAAGAAACAATGTTTTCTGTATCATTTCAACGTTGTATTCCGAGATAGATAACAGAGCTTCATAAGTGTAAGTACGCAAAGGAAGATAAACACGTAACATTTTATGCAGTTAAAGGATAAAAATAACTTACCACGTGAAGGTCATCGTAAGGACGATGGAATCGGCTCGATTTCGTACTTTCACTTGCGTATACATTACACTGACTTGGCCGAACTCGTCCACTTTAGTATTAAAACGGTGAACACATTTATCGGTCGCGGCTTACTGTAAATAAAGTGTAATTCTTACTTATTATTTAATGATAAGAACTGTCGAAAAGTCCAGAACAAACACTTAATGATGACCTACGTAAGTAAAATAATTCCTCCACCTAAATATTTTTCATAGATAAAAGCTTAATTTAATAATTTCTGAAATTTGGGAAAACCGACGTCAAGCAATAAAATAACGCAATAGAAAATTTCAGCTTTACCTTGTTAAATATCTAATTGTTTCTTTTAGAAATTGTTATAAATATTATAAACAATTTGTTACACTGACACACGGCCACCATTTTATACTTGACAATAGATACTAGCCTTGACTTATAGTTAAGTAAGCTCAAGGTTGACCACTAGTATTCTGGTGTATTAACTAATGTCCCTAAATTAATTAGTTGACGCCGATTTCGCGATTTACGTCTTCTCGTCGCGTCCCTCATCGTCACGGGTTATCGAAGATGGGTGTCGTGTTTCACTCCCTGGCATTACGTCACAGTTTTTATAAAAATTAGTTTAAAGTATTTGCCCTCCACGTATAACAATATAAAAGGCAATTTTAGAGTTTCTATTATAAATTTTAACACCCAGAAGATTTAGGGTTATGGTACGTATTTTGGTTTTTCATATAATTTATAAGAATTAATATTTCTGCGATCGATTCTGTTATATTAAATTAACTAGGAGTACGGATGAGAATATTTAAATTAGTGAATTAATTTTTAGGGTTCCGTACGTCCAAATGAAAAATGGAACCCTTACAGGATCAGTCGTGTGTCTGTCTGTCCATCTATCACAATCAATCTGTTCCAAATCTACTTGACCAATTAAGTTGAAATTTAGTACACGTATGAATTTCTGTAACCCAAACACGGACGCATAAAGTAAATAAATTAAATTTGAACATGGGGGTCATTTTTGGGGAGTCAATAGGTAATTAAAAAAAAAAAGCATTGCAAACTGTACCGAGTGAAATATCAAAGAAACCACTTGTTGTAAGGGTCCCAAATGTATTTTTAATAATTTTAAAATAAATAGTTT